TTAAATATTTTTAGACTTGATCAAATTGTGATGTTCTTTTTAAGTGATCATTATTCTTTGTAAGAATTTCACTTTCAAATATTTTGTACTTATATACAAAGTATTTTGCATTTATATTAAAAAGCCAAAATGCAAACAGCTCAAATATTTTATTTTTAGCCTTTATAGTTTTATAATACGATAGTTTCATGGTTTTTAAATTATATGTATTATACACTATATAAAGGTATATATCATATAGAGACATATAGAGGCGTATGTGTTTATATGTGCATACCTGTCTGTCCATCTATCTCTCTATATTCTAAGTTTATACAGGAAGAGAGAAGTGAATAGTCAGGCCTATTTTTTCACTTTTAATATATTAGCTCATTTAATTCCTACAAGATAGGAGAATTAAACACAGTATAATAAGAACTCCGAAAGTTTAGACTGCATTGCAATTTGTTGTTTTAATTTGCTGTTTCATCCTTCCAATAATGTATGAGGCTGTATAATACATTATACATTTTACAGTGCTAAAATTGATCTTCGAACAGACACAATTATGAGGCAAAATAGAAAGTGAAAAGAACAGCAGCTTTTAAATCAAATCAGACCTGGGTTTTAATCTTGCTGTGCATTCTTAAGCAAGTTACTTAATCTTTCTTCTCCATAGACATATGAATATTCACTTGATAGGGTTGTCTTGAAGATTAATTCAAATCACTTACGGAAAGTTCTTGACCTATGACAGTATTTATTTAATAAGTACCTGCTCCTTACTCTTTCTTTTTACTTTTTTCTTTCTTTTTTTTTTAGAAGGAGTCTTGCTCTTGTCACCCAGGCTGAGTGCAGTGGCATGATCTCGGCTTGCTGCAAACTCTGCCTCCCTGGTTCAAGCGATTCTCCTGCCTCAGTCTCCTGGGATTATAGGTGCCTACCACCATGCCCAGGTAGTTTGTATTTTTAGTAGAAAAGGGGTTTCACCATGTTGGCCAAGCTAGTCTGGAACTCTTGGCCTCAAGTGATCTGCCCACTTCGGCCTCCCAAAGTGCTGGTATTACAGGCATGAGCCACCACACCCGGCCGATAAATACCTGCACTTTACTCTTATTAGTTGTAATATTTGCCAGTATACATGAAATCTTGGAAAGTCAGTTTGCTGCAAACATTGGGATAATAATTTCTACCCTCAGAGTGACTGGGAGATTTTAAAAGATTATATGTGTAAATTAAATTTAATATACAGTAAATTGTTATTTCTGTTCCTGCACAAGAAACAATGGAACAAGAATTTCTAATTAGGAACTTACAACTTTCATTAAAAGTCATTATTATTGTGAGTATCAAAAATGAATTGAAAGCAGTCATTATATCCCTATTCTGACCATCAATATAAATGTCCTCAAGTTTGTTTATAATCAATCTGAAATGACAAATTTCAGAGGACTTTATCAGGTTGAGTTTCTCTTATCAGTAACAGTTTTTGATTAAATAATTGCAAGTGCATTGCTCCAAATGGCTATTAAGAGAGACCTTACCCTGTGCTAATACTGCCTGATCACTGACAGGTTGAAATCAGACCATTCTATTCCCAGACTTTGGCAAACAACTACTATCTCATAATTGGGTTTGCAGAATTTAATTACAATTTAGACATGCAGAAAAAAGGTAAGGTTTTTATCCATATATGGTTACATAGTCTTTAGAAGTTCTCACCTACAAGTTGTCAAGTTCAGCCACATAGTCTCTGGGGATTATTCATCTGCTTTCTGCTTGCCCTCATTCATGGCTAGTGGAATTCATGACTGGTAGAATGTATGACTTGTGAAATGTGCAGTGTGATCTTGGCTTGGTCAGAACTGGGTGAAGCTCCCTGGCTGATTGTGTCCTTTTTCAACTCCTATGTGCTAAAGACCTCTAAATCTGCCCACTTTCTTCATTCAGTGCCTTGGCCTGCTCATGTACCCTCAGCCTCTGTTGCCACAAAGGACCTGATGGCTGGCCCTCTACACCTCAATTTAGCAACCATGTGCCATGGTAACTCTGGGTAGTATGGGAGGACGAAAATGCCTCAAGCCTTTAATTGCTCACTGCACCTTCCAGCTGATGTTTCCATGCCCTAGTTGTTTAGGGGAAGCTAAAGAAAGTATCTTTCCAGAGTTAAAAATTAGGAGTGCAGCAATAGTACCCCAAGTCCATACCTGTTAGCAGATGCCGTTGCTTAACACCCAGGGCACTGTGTGCTAGCATGAGACCCTTACTTATCAGCTTTTAGCAAGCTAATCCCATAGAAAGGAAAATCTGTACATACACATCTGATTAGCTCTTTCTCCTTGTGCCTGTTACTTATTCCATAATCCACAGGCACTGGAAAGAGCCTGAGTTTTCTTTTACTTTCCCTATATCAAATCCTTCTATCTGACTATACAGCCAATTTAAATCCTTGGTATGTTAAATGAGAGCTAAAGGAATTTGGAAGATCCTTTTCCAGAAAAATAACATGACTTGAAAGGATATGTTTCTAAACTTAATCATCCAAAGCTGCACACTACCTGTATTTTTCTCTTTACATTTATCTTGAAATAGTCTTAATTTCCCCATCCTAAGTTTTTCTTCTATAAGATAGCTCTGGCAATTAAGGTAACATTAATAGTCATAAAAGCACAGTAAAAGAGAAATATTAATAATTGCTTTTAGACATTACCCACTAGTAAACATAGTAGATCTTGGTTTAATGAGAGGAGAGCTAGAATTCTTGTTTTTAATTATTATTTTAATCTAGCAGGTCTAGCAAGGTTGGTTAATAGAAGAAACTATACAGAAATGTATTAACATAGGATATCATTTCTTTTCCTACTACAAAATAAAATGTAGCATTTACTCTACAAACACTCTCGAGTGTCTACTATGATTCTGCCACTGTACTACCTGTTGGTGACACAGATATGCTTGATCTTGCCTTCCTGTGCAGAGCACTTGCAGTCTATTAAGAAGGAAAAAGCAGTCCAAAAACAATAAATATAAGTGCTTCTGTAGAATTCTTAAGTCAGTGTCATGCAAAGCACACTATGGAAGAACACAGTAAGTGCATTGTCTTAACTTTAGTGTCTTCCACTATACTTACTAAACTGCTTTAAATTCAATTCTGTTGAATTCATTTGAGTGCTCCCAAATGCGACTGTGCCAAGAAAAATTTCTCAGAATTGAATAGCAGATTACTAGGATCATCTCTTACCATTTCCAAGATTTTAAGGTTCTAGCCACCACTAATATATGAACAATATTTCATCTTTCTTCTTTATTGTATCATATTAATGAAATATCCCTTATTCTAAAACATCCAAATAAATTATTTTCCAAAAGTATATGGTTCTTGAATATGGTCACATCTATCTGTCTGAAATTTTTAGACTATAGTGCTATATTGTTGCTTGCCTGCTGTTGACTACACTCAAAGAAAAGGAGGATTTCAAGGATTATTTACCTAGCATAAACCATTAAATGAATCAAAAGAGTCTCAGGAATCAGATTCACAGCAAGAAGAATCTGCTGTCCAGCAAGCAATTGATGAGCCTACCACATGGTATTAAAAACATACATATATTATTGAAATTAATAGAAGTGGATTACTCCCCAATCCTTTTCTCTAGAAAAAGTTTTACAAAACTAAGGCACATTCTTGCAAACTTTCATCCTCAGAGTCACAAGAATATTCCAAAATAAGAAATTTGCCTGGGATTCTATTTGTTTTCACACTTTCCTAATTAAAAACCTGTCCATGTACTGCAGTTAAATTTAGATGACAAACACTAGTCAAGGGTATTTTAAAGTTTTAATTTTCCAGTTTGTGGCTTTTGAATTTGGGTCTTAATACAGATGAAAGTTCTTTGGGGGCTTTACGATATAAGATTTCAGAACATTTTTCTTTCTTGAATTAGGGAAGAAAAAACAGTAAGGCAGCAGCAGTTTCCTGCTTCTTGTGCAGTAGCAAGTGATTGTTGCAAGTCCTTTTATTCCTAAATCTTCTGGTACAGAAATTTCGTAAGGAATAAAAATGAATCTAAATTGGCAGAACACAAAGTACATAATCATGGAACCTAGGCAGCTCCAGAGGCATGTGGCACTTCACAAAAAAATGTAATACTTTCAACATTCCACACTGTTGCTTCTCTGAGGAGAAAAGCTCGAAGCTCAAAGGAATTGCTTCAAGCTGAAACCAGGTGACAAACTATTGCATCTGAAGATACATAAGTACAGATAAATATGGTTTTCCCTAAAGCTATTACGTAAATTTGGAATCTAATAACTGGTAGTTTAAAGCAAAAAAGAATAATTCACTTGTTACTGGCAGGGATTAATTTTCCTGAGGTTTTTTTTTTTCTTTTTTTCTCTTTGCCTAAGACTTTGTGGCACTTTAATAACTCCATTTCTCACTCCGTGTGGAGTGGTTCATGCCTGTAATCCCAGCACTTTGGGAGGACGAGGCGGGTGGATCACCTGAGCTTAAGAGTTTGAGACCAGCGTGGCCAACGCGGTAAACCCGGTCTCTACTAAAAATACAAAATTATCCAGTTGTGGTGGTATGTGCCTGTAGTTTGAGCTACTTGGGGACTGAGGCAGGAGAATCACTTGAACCTGAGAGGCGGAGATTTCAGCAAGCTGTGATCATGCCACTGCGCTTCAGCCTGGGTGACAAGAGCAAAATTTCATCTCAAAAATAATAATAAAAATAATAATTCTACTTCTCAAATTTCCACTCTACTTTTTAAATATCAATACAAAAGTTAATGTTAAATACCCCTAAAACATGTTATTGAATTGCTTTGATAATTAAGTATAGTTTTAAATATGATTGAATTTATCCACAATCCTTCTCATGTAGAATTTTCTTTCAAGATTTTATTTTTCAGAATTTCTTAATATAGCATATTTAGCAATAAGTAAATATGTGATATTTAAAATTTGGAAAGAAAGCTAAGTCCCAAAAAGTCTCATGTATGTCAGCCTCCCAAAGGAATTGGATCAATTAACTACAGTAAATGTTTTTCTAGGGCTTACAATGATTAATATAACTGGTTAATTAAATGTTGTGAGTATATAAAATGAATGATTGGCCAAATCTCAAAGTGATTTGAGAAATCCAATTCCTTCCAGCACATTTACTTGTTAGCTGAGGATTTTTAAGAGTAAAGGATCTAGTATTCCTTTAGCAGTCTTACATTCTCATTCTACAATTACAAACAACAATACCGAGGCAGACAGATGCAGCAATCTGTCCAAACCTAAAAATCAAGAAAGACATAATAAATTTAGGATTCAAAATATTTGCCTCCCCAGGCATCTCTGGCTTTCACCTCTGTGATTCTCACTTCCTCTTACGGGGAGTGTGGAAGAATCTCCCCTCTTCTAAGCATGTCTCTGGAGATGCCACGATTTCTTTTCCCCACATCTCTGATTTCCATCCCCAGTGCCTCCAGGGTACAAGAGAGAAATGTGAATTATCCAAAATGCTCCTGAATGGAAACCAAAGTCATAGAAACCACAAGAAGATAAGGCAGCAAAACTGGAAGGAGTATAGGTTGGGAGAAGTGTCAGAGGGAAGCCATCACATTTTTTTTGTCTCTAGGGCTCATTCTTTCACCTTTTGTTCTTTGTTTTTGTCAACTCTCTTAGGATGTGAGTATCATGGAAAGCATAGGTAGGCTTGCTTTTCAGTTTCAGCTCTGCAACAGATTAACTGACTAACCTCAAGAAACCAATTTGCCTTTCTTGCTTTCCTTTTACATAAAGTGCATTAATAAAAATCACTGTTCACTTGACCTCACTGGATTTACAACCATGTACAATAAGCTTATGCAAAAGTTCAAGTATTTTGTAAGTGGGAAGTCTTGGTAGAGGTTCTTAAGTTGAGAGCTGATGCCCATTACTCTTCAGGGCATTTCCCTCTACTAGGCAAAGCTGTTGAAAGAAACAAATTCAAGGTCAGAAGATCACTAAACAAAATAGCATCAAAACAAAGTGGGGAAAGATGGGCACAAAGTACCTGAGAAATGACCCATCTTACTTAGGAGGAGTGTTTCTAATTAACTCAAGAGTAGGTAATGAGTTTCCAGAATTAAAGTATTCTGTCTCTGAACACTGGTGAATAAGAATTCAAATACTTGCCCTTTGGCTTTCTTTTCTGTGCACTTCATATAGATCACTAACCTCCTGGTAGCAAATTGCCAATCAGATCCACTGATTTTTATTACCGGTAATAAAAATATTTAAAAATCCACTGATTTTTATTATCCACTTACTACCAGTTACTACTAGTACTACTTATCACATATATACTTAACACTAGTCATGTAGCCCAATACAGTATATTGTAGAAAATAGTTTTGATGTATTCAAGTAAAATTCCTCTACCTGAAAATATATTCTGATGTATTAGAGACTTGAAAAATGTTACCACCTACACTATCTAGTACTATGAATTCCATCTGCAAAAGGATAACTTCATTATTATCTCCAGTTTCAGAGTCAACTTTTCCTGACTTTGTCCCCACCTTGCTGTGTCTACAAATGTTGATTATGAAGGATGAAAGAAAGTCTTCTTTCTTCCGACTGATTGAAATGTCAGAATGGTTGAGACTCATACAACTTTCTACTGCATAGGACAAAGCAATACATGACAGATGCTGTTAATAAACCCATGTGAGTGAGGCAGAGTCCCATATTCTCAACTATAGGAAATGTAAAGAGCCAAAAAAAATTGAGATGCAGCCAGCCGCGGTGGCTCATGCCTGTAATCCCAACACTTTGGTAGGCTGAGGCAGGTGGATCACCTAAGGTCAGGAGTTCGAGACCAGCATGACCAACAACATGGAGAAACCCTGTCTCTACTGAAAATACAAAATTAGCTAGGCATGGCGGCATGCACCTGTAATCCCAGCTACTTGGGAGCCTGAGGCAGGAGAATCACTTGAACCTGAAAGGCAGAGGTTGCCATAAGCCAAGATGGCACCATTGCACTCCAGCCTAGGCAACAAGAGTGAAACTCTGTCTCAAAAAAAATAGAAAATTGAGATGTACATTAATTAGTAAACTACCAAATTGCTATAGACTGAATATTTATGTCCTACCCAAATTCACATATTGACAACTAATCCCCAATGTTATGGTGTTTGTATGTGATCCCTTAAAGAGATGGTTAGATCATAAGGGTGGAGACTTCACAAATAGGATTAGTGCCCCTGATTTAAAAAAAAAAATACCCAGATAGCTCCCATACCTTGACTACGATGTGAAGACACAGGAAGAAAATGATATTTATGAACCTGGAAGCAGGCCCTCACCAGACACCAAACAAAGTCAATGCCTTGATTTTGAACTTCCCAGCCTCCAGAACTGTGTAAAATAAATTTTTGTTGTTTACAAGCCACATAGTTTCTGTTATAATAGCCCATACTGACTAAAGCACAAAGGTACTGGCAGTTAAGTCCTCCTGCAGATCAAAAATCCTGTATGGCTGTTAGCATGGTCACCGTACTGGCAGCACTCTGGGTACTACCGTACTATTGGCAAGTTTTTCTACAATCCCCACGCAGTCCCTGCTCTCTGCCATCTCTCTCCATCAGGGATATGGAAGGGACAGAAAAGGAGAGAGAGGCACTCAGTCACAGGAAAAGTCCTGGAGACTCCCTAATACTCTGTGGATTCACATTGAATTGGAGAAATAGTATCGTTATGCTGCATTTTTAGGCACTTCTTTCTAAGAGTGATATACAGTTTCTTCTTGGCTCCGCTCTGCTTATGCATTACAATTGTTAAAGCCCAGCTGAAGTCTTACCTCCTCCCTGAGCACTTCTCTACACATTCTGTAAAATCCTGATTGGGCTCTTCTTTCAAATCCTGCAGCATATGTCCCCATATCCTAATTTAGGTCATAATTTCACTATCTTGAAACTTTCTCAATTTATATATATCTCTAACTTGACCAAAATAATTTGAATATAACATAATCTAATCTAGCTTCTCGCTACAGGAACATGATCAGCATTTGGGGCCAGACAATTCTTTGTTGTAGAGGCCTATCCTGTGCATTGTAGGATATTTAGGAGCATTCTTGCCCTATACTCACCAGATGCCAGTAGCACCTCCGGTAGTGACAATAAAAAATGTCTCCGGACATTGCTGAATATCCCCTAAGGGACAAAATTGTCCTTGGTTGAAAACTGCTGATTTACCCTGATGTTGAAATATTTTCTATGTTTGTTATTACAACATAAATTTAGGTTTACACTTCATTTTTATCAACCATAATTTCCATACTAAAATAGTACAGGCTGACCATCTACATGTATCTGAGGATGACCACAGCCTTTAGGGACCTGGAGCTTTAGAAATGAACACGAGAAGCCTGAGTCCAAATTTCCAAGAAATATTCAGGCTCTTCCTTCTCCCAGTAAAAATCCTAATGGCAAGAAAGACCAGCCAGAGATGATAAATCCCCTCACATTGAGGGTGGATGCCTGATCAACTTGGCTAAAGCTGCTTTGGCTTAAAAAGTCAGATAGATAAAGCCTTTGGAACTGTTGGGGACAAAAGCCTCCCCAGGATATTATTTAATATTATTGCTGGCTCCAGGGTGTTCTATTCCATAAGTACTCTGACCTCAGCTCCTGCTGCTGTCTTGTAGACATCTCTCTCCTACCCCCTACACACTCGAGTACAAGCTGGCCTCTGTCATCAGTTATATAAGAACCTATTGTGACCTGAAGCTTAAGATGGGGTAGTCCTCAGTCAGTGGTAGTGTTGGCCGCCTGGCTCAGGTGGCTCAGTTATACATTTCAGAATTAAATCCCCATAAAACCTAATACCAATTTAAATGGTGTATCAGTGACTGATGACTTGGCTAATGGATGAGTCCCAGGAAATTTGTTAGATCTTTTGTGATGACCATATGTCCCTGGTTGATCATTAAGGTCAGAGTCAGCAGGATATTTGCTTTATCCCACTCATGAGCTCCAGGCTCTTGGAGTCCCAGAATTTCTTTGCAGATTCTATTCATAGTACTCTTCTGTCTGGACTTAAAACTAAAGACATATCTGTTCATTCCTATTCCTGAACACCCTTAAGAAAGTAGGTCAGTTTGCTGTGTTTTAATTGTAAAGCGTCTTTTGAGTCTTTATAAAAGAAGCCGAGTAAGTGCTTGTTGTTGTCAGGGTAATTATTTTCTAAGGAGTGCTTACACTCTGACTTTGCCAACGAAATCACTCTACAAGACACATAATTTAAACCACCATTTTATCTTATTTGTTAAATTAAGTAACAGGAGAAAAGCTAGCCTTTAAAGAAGTCTGGAAAAGAAAAGCCAGAGCTTCCACTGTAATTCCTATTAATGAAAATTTGCTTAACATTATTTTTCCTTTCAAATTATTGTTGTTACATTAAAATAGATGCATACATGAATGTAGAATGCTGGGTGATAATATAAAGCATATATACTTTTTTAAATTTTTATTTTAGGTTTCAGGGTACACATGAAGGTTTGTTACATAGGTAAATGCACATCATGGGGGTTTGTTGTACATATTATTTCATCACCCAGATATTAAGTTCAATACCTAATAAATATCTTTTCTGTTCCTCTCCCAATGTTTTGTGCATTTACTTTTTGATAATGTCATTGTCTTTTCATAAAAGAAAAAAATATTAAAAACTATACTTAGGATATAACAATGCTTCCCCAACTCTAACTTAACGTTTTTGCTGGTCATTTTCACATGGTCATATATGTCCAAGCCAGGAACTACACAGAGTGTTTCTTTAGAATGGCAGATTTGCTCCACATGGCCCATTTTAAGTAGATTCCATCTAACAGAGAATAGACCAATTGGTATATTTCATGACATTAGAGATTTCCTTAAAGAACAATGCAAGAAAGAGAAGGAAAAACAAACAGACGAATGTATTGATTTGCTTGACCCAAATTATCTAGAGAAAGTCGCTGCCTGGATGGCTTAATAAACCGCATAATTGAAAAGACCAGTTAACAACTTTTAATCTTATGAAAATTTTTGGTGTAGCAGACAAATATGGAAAGAAAGGGATTTTGAATTACCCACCAAGATTTTCTTCTTTTATTTTAGAAGTCTCTTAGGGCTTTGTATATCCTAGATTATAGCTGTTTCTTTGTGCCAAGCCTCACTCACTCTTCCAATGATGAGGTTTTGGATATGCTACCCTAAAATAGTTTAAGCTGAAGGAATTTGAGAAAACCACAAGGTAGGAAGTTCATTCTCATCTTAATCTACACTCTTCTTGTGAAACAGGTCATAACACCTAGGAAGCTTTTTCTGACCTTCCCCTAAAGCAAGTCATAAGATCCTCTTGTGAGAGATGCTCTCTCCATATCCAGAGGAAAGAAACATCCTTATCTCTGAAGATGAAGGGACACAGAAAGAAATCTGAACATACCAGACCTTTCTAAATTTCCCCTAGTTTCCATTAGATTATATTCCCTTTATCCTGTCAAATTTCTTCATGGTAGTCTACTCTTAAAACCGTCAATAAAATACAGTCATGTTTAACTGTTGCTTTGAGTCTTTTTTCCTTATGAAGGTTCCTGTATCACATACTAATTATATTAAATAAATCTGTACCCTATTATCTTGCCAATCTGTCTGTTATAGGGGCCTCAGCTATGAACATAGGATAGGTGAGGGAAAGATTTTTATTCTGTCCTACAGTGGCATTCATCTACCTTGAAGGAAAATTGCCTACAAAAGTTTTAAAGCAGTTCGTCAGTTACATGTTCATGCCACGCCCACTGAGCTAATAGAAAGTGATTAGAAGTAGTATGGCTGGTTTGAAAACAAGGACTTTTTAAACCTTGGGAGTGTTGGGTTAAGGCACACCATACGTCCATCTCAGCCAGCAGGAACAAATGTTGAAGGGAATAGTTTAGACTA